TCAAAGCCGCGCTATTATCTGCAGAGTTCTTGCGCATATACGACCCGCTATTGCCAACACGCGTCACTACGGATGCGTCCGACTATGGCATTGGTGCCGTCCTGGAACAACACGATGGCGTGGACTGGCACCCGGTCGAGTACTTCAGCAAGAAAGTGCCCATCGTGCACTTCATTGATGATGCATGCAGGAAGGAGCTCCTCGCCTTCGTCCACGCGCTCAAGTGGTGGCGGCACTTCCTCCTTGGTCAAAGTCAATTCCGATGGGTGACGGACAACAATCCGTTGGTCTTCTACAAGACCCAAGACACCGTCAATAGCACCATCGCCCATTGGATGGCTTTCATCAACCAGTTCGACTTCTTTCCCGATCCCATTCCCGGGAAGTCGAACCGTTTTGCGGATGCTCTTTCACGATGTCCGGATCATTAGTAACGAGGTCTATTCAACCTTCGAGATCGGCAACGACCTGCGGGACAGCTTCATCCACGACTACCAAGCCGACCCTGGTTTCGCGATAAGTATGTGAATTGCTCCTCTCCCAACCCGACGCCTTCTCACTACCGGATCCAAGAGGGGTACTTGCTTGTCCACACACGGGGGAAGGACCACCTTTGCGTACCGAGCGACTCTCACTTGCGTACACAGCTTCTTGGCGAGTTCCATGATGCTCCCGCCACCGGACACTTTGGAGTCAATCAAACGATTGGTCGACTTCGCGAGCGCTTTTGGTGACCCGGCCTTCTCGGCGACGTGACACGCTATTGCGAGTCGTCCGAGGTTTGCCGACGCTGCAAATCCCGCAATCATCATCCGTACGGCAAGTTGCGACCATTACCGGTCCCCTTGCGCCGACGGGAAGCGATTGCCATGGTCATTACCAGGCCGTTCCCCAAGCATAAGACCGGTGTGGATGGGATTCTCACGGTGGTTGACCGACTCACCAAGTTCTCCATGTTTTCGCTTTGCCGCTATCATGCCAAGGCACCAGAGTTGGCTGAGGTTCTTTACGTCGGTTGGATTCGAACCATGGGTTACCCCAAGGAAATCGACTGCGACCGCGACACTCGGTTCATGTCCGATTTTTGGTTGGCGCTCATCAAACGATGGGGCTCATCTCTCAAGCCAAGTTCAGCTCGCCTCCCCCAAACCAATGGCCAAACGAAGAGGGCGCATCAGACCGCACATCGCACTCTCATCCGTCCCGACCAAAGGATTGGGTTGAGCGGCTGCCAGATGTCGAGTTGGCATACAACTCCTCCATCCACCCGGCTATCGGGATGTCGCCCTTCGAGTTCGAGCATGACTCGCCGATCACTTCTCTGTTGGAAACAATAATTCCACGAGCGGTCGAGAGCGACGACCATCTTCTCTTCCTGTGTCGGATGCAAGAGGTACTTGTCAAGGCACGTGACCAGATGGCTAAGACGCAGCAACGCATGAGCCAATAGGCCAATCGCCAGCGTCTTCCTTGTCCATTCCGCGCCGGCGATCTCATTTGGGTTTCCGCTGCGGAGTTCAGCCTCGAACAAGATATCTCTCGCAAGCTCCTCCCGAAATGGATGGGGCCCTGGCCGATCGTGGCACTCGCTGGGGAGGCACCCGAAGGACCTTCTTTCATCATTCAGGTGCCCGCCCACTTGCCCGTCTACCCGGTCTTTCATTGCTCCAAGTTCGCTCTTTACACGCCAGCGGAACATGACGACTTTCCCGGGGGACGATTGCAAGACCCACCCTCTATGGACAATTTTCAAGAGGTCGGCGACATCATCTCCCAGCGACGCTACGACAACAGGCCGACCGAATACTTGGTACACTTTGCGTACTGCACCCACAAAGCTGACCGTTGGTTGACCCGTGCGGAACTCCAAGCAACAGCTTCGGATGTCCTCTCACGCTACGAACGCAAGATGCAAGGCAAGCCGGTATCTTCGGCTCCACGTCGCACCCATGTCCAGGTTCCACCTTCAGATCGTCAGCTTCGCCCTAGACCCGGCTTGACTTCATAAGGAGGGGGGGGTGTTACATGCTGCGCCTGCACATGGGCCCATTTCAAGGGGCCCGACGGTTGCTGAGGGGCCCCCAGGCCGCATGCCATCAGACGTGCGCCCTGGGGGCCCACGGCGGCCCCCAGGGCGCAGATTTCACATAAAGGCGGCAGTATTTCTTTATTTATTTATTAAATTTTATTTACTTACCGTTGCCTTGTCCCTTGTCTGTGCAGACGACGTTTCGGACTTGCAGACCCAAGGCAACGCCTTGGGCCAGGTACAGAGGCACGAGGCCCATCCGAAACCAGGCGCGTTTTTGCGCCTGACTCAACGGTACCAGTACCGTTTTGGACCTCAGGCACGAAGGCAGCGCCTTGGGCCAGGTAACAGGGCCTGATCCAGGCCTGGCACGTTTTTTGCGCCTGCTGCATCAGCAGCATGGTCTGGACGTCCGGTAGGGACCCAGACCAGCTGGGCCGTTTCTGAGGCCAGCACCAGGTAGGTCCAGCCGCCCAGCGCTACATATAGCTGGGCAGCGGCTGGGCCAGGGACAGTTCGGGTAGCTCACTTCTCGAGCGACACGCTGCTGGACCAGCGCTGCGCTCAGGACTAGAGGTTGGGGAGTAGGTAAGAGAGGGCGGAGGCCATACCTGCGGACGGCGGACTTACCTGGCGCCATAGCTGGGACTCCGCTCGCGACCTTCACAAGACAGCAACCACGCGGCAGTCAGCATACGGCGGCCTTCCTGCAGGTGAGGTAGCAGGGAAGACGATCTCTTTGTCTCCCCTCTCTCTCTCTCTCTCTCTCTCTCTCTCTCTCTCTCTCTCTCTCTCTCTCTCTCTCTCTCTCTCTCTCTCTCTCTCT